GGTAAATGCTTCGAATAAAAATATCGACACCCCCTGAAGAAATCTTTAAGGGAAGCTGGGAATTTATTCTCAAATCAGTTATTGAGTTTCTTATCTTCTCTGACGAATTTCACATCCGGCGTCTGTCCGTGAATAACTCTGATCTGATCTTATGATATCAACGATTTGTTTGCTCCCTCTAAGCACTGTGAGTATTTTCCAGGATCAACTAGAAAATTTTGAAAATCGTATACCTTTTGAATCAGCAGATGGATGGCTGACGTTTTTGAAAATCAACAATGAAAGTATAGACCTCTCAACTTTACTCTTAATTAATCCAGCTCGTGCTTCATTTCACAGTAGCACTTTAGCATTTTCTGGTAAGCATTTCTTGTTTTTTAAGAGAATCCTGACCTATATTGTCTCTTAAAATTCGCATTCCAAAAGTTTTGCGAAATTGATATCATTGAAGATCTCATTTATCATGTGAATAGAGGGGAGTATAAAGATGTGAATTCAAGAATTGCCACCACAGAATTCGAATCTTAATCAGGTATTCAATCCAATTCAACTAACTCCAGTTCTGTCACTGAATGTAAGCTAGAGAAGAAAGCTGTGCTCCTTTTAAAATCACAAGGCAGCTATTGAAAACTTTTTCATAGAGATTATTATTTAGGAATTAAATAATGAGAACAAAGAATAATATTAAAGATAAGGTCCATCACATCGTGAAATAACAAGAGCATTAACTTACATGCCATGGGTGATCGTCAATTTTGATTTTTAGTGAATATGTGCATAGTGGTTTAAGGACAGAAAGTTTTTGGACAAACTACACTGTGTTACTGTGTTTTGCACCGTGGGTCACACACCGAAAGTTTTTAAAGAACCCGTTTCTCACACAATGGTTTGGAAAGTTTTAGCAATCTTTGGTACGGTTGATTATCAATTAAAAACTATTCCTCCGCTTTGATTCCTAGCTGCCGCTGGTGGACAGGAGTACGGTTCACGGTCATTTTATTGATTAAACAAGTAATCAAATCCTATGCTATGCTAGAAGGCGAATTGACTTCAAAGAATACACTTGTTTTCCATTGTGATTTTGTAGATCTAAATTAGATCTAAAAGAAGAAACAGACTCAATTCGCACAGACAACCAGAGACGTGTGCGAAGCGCAAATTTATTAATTCAAGTTTTTTTGTTGCAGGGTCATACAAATATGTTCCAGTCCTGCCTTCTGAAATAGTGAAGTTAGCATGTGTCTACAGTTCTGAGATTGAAACATCTTTGTTCAGTGTTCTGTGGCTTCAAGCAGAATTTATTATTAATCCAGATCAGCACCACAGGTTTGAACATTGTAATTTTGCTCTTAGGTTCGTTTGTGGAATGTATGACTCCGGAAAAAAGTTTAATTGCTATCAAATATGAGATACTGCTTATTGCTGAATTCAAATGAAATTGAATAGAGTTATTATACATATTATTAAGACAAATTCACTAAATCTAGTCTTACCATATTGAATTAATACTTTAAAACTCATGTGTACTTGTAGAAAGATAATTCTAAAAACATTTTTGGTTTTGGCAAAATAAGAGGTCAGGAATATCACTTAAAGCATTTCAGTTTTTCTATTTCGTGATGAATTTATTTTTTCTCCTGGGAGCATGCCCCTTATTCCTTTAATGAGTAAAGTTGACATTTATCATCTCTAGGGACTTAGCCAGAAATTATTTAGAAAATGTTCCGAGCATTCTCATTAAAAAAAAAACTATAATTTAGGAGTATTTGTGATACTGTACCTAGCCTTCAAGTTTTTGTCTAGGTTAGCAATGTATTCATTTCATCGTTTGCTCTTTCGTCAATTTGGATACGTATTTTGCAACATTTTGTGAAAATCTTGTTTTTAAAGTAGGACTCAATGTGATAAGTTTTTTTTTTCTTTTTTAAACAAACAGTAAAAATATATGTCCGAGTTAAATAAATTTCTGAAAAAAAAAAAACTCACCACTTTTACCGTACATTTTTTAGTAAATGCGTTTCAGGACCTACCTGGGTCCCTTCCTCAGGATGTATTTCAAGCAGTCGCGGATGTAATCAGTAGTATCCGTTTCTCAGTTGTGGCATCTCTGACGTTGTCTCATCGTTTTTTTCCCTTGCGTATCCGATGTTGTCATCCTTAGCTTTGTTTTTTGGAATTATTTCCAACAGAACATTCTCAGCGTTCTCAATTTCAAAATTATCACTCTTTCCCTCTTTTTGCGCCCCTCAAGGTTTAAAAAAACCTGTATTGCGTAGACTAAAAAATTTATAAGAAAGTGGTAAGTTTTTTTTAAAAAAATTGTTTATCATTCAGGATGCAATGTACCCAAGGGTAGAAACTGATCTCCCTTTCAATTTCTGAAGTTTATGAGACATGATGTGATCATTTTGAATCTTTATGCCAAAATTCTAGTGGGTGCATTGAATTCTCGGATTTTTTCTCCAATTTTTCACAAAAAATAATTCCTTACGATGTAGAGTTTAAGCCTCAATCAATCTTAATGTATTTTTCAGCGGTGTCTCTTACAGCATTACTGACAATGGGAGTGTATCAGAGCTGAGAATTGTAAATAATGGAAATGAAAGCCGTATAGATGGGTTTTATTCCTGTTGGGTGCAACCAGCAGATGCAGCTAGTCAGGGAAAATTATTAATTTCCTATGGTTTGGATGTCATTGAACCAGAATCAGGTTGGTTTTTTGTTTTTTCAACTCGGGAATTCTGGATTTTATATTAACTTCTCTGGAGATTTGCTTAAATTTTTTGCAAGGTGTGTTTCAAAAATATGGAGGTACTTAATTAGCCAGTTCCTTTTTTTGTTTCTACCCAAGATAACTTTTTGTGCACTCATTGAAGAATTGCAGATGGCTTCAATAGATGCAAAAGACATAGCATTGAAATGGGAACCTACCTACCTACTATGGTACTGAAGATGTCTCTTTTCTCGAATTCAGCAAGATCCTAGGAAAAATAATCCCCAGAACACAAATCTAAAATTCTGATAGAACGCATTAAACCCAAAACACACTGTTTTACATCCCGACCTCTTAATTTCCTCCTGTGGTACTTGGTGAGCTAGCATTGGATTGCGAGTCCTTTTTACAGAGCTTAATTTTGGCCCAGTTTGTGGCTTGGACGTTTATTCTCACACACAGCTTATCAAACCCTACATAGTGTTTGTATATTGAAATACTGAGGTACAAAACAAAAATTCTATGAAATTGTGATTTTGTCCTATTTGACCTAAGTTGACGTAAACCTGGAGAATTATTGTACTTTTTTTACACCATCAAATGTTCATTCATGGTCATCACTGTTTCTCTCTCAACTACTGTGCGCAATACACCTGTGGGACAATCATGATGAATCAGACTAAAAAGATGTTTAGCCTCGCCGTCACTGCTGCTTTACTAATTTACAACTTTTTGTCTTTTTCTCAGCTAGCGAATCAGTATTTCATGCAATCAACAGTCGAATAAATACTGGAACAGAAAATCAATGTTACTTTCTGGTACTATTACTTCTATTTCCATTCCTGATCATACTCTGCTGCTGCAAGGAATGCAAGGTGGAGAGGTATGCAAAATTCCATCAGCCTAATAATTAATTTTTTGTGAACCAGATTTTTTTGTTTTTTTCCTCCTCTTTACTTTTTGCAAAATTTAGGAGCTTAGAGATCATTTTAGAGTCTTACTAGTTCAATTCTGTTAAGAATCATGCTCACATAATTCTTGCAGCATTCAATAAACCAGCAGGTACAAATTCAAGCATTCTAATTTGTGCCCTCTTCCAAAAGTCATGTAGATCTTGTTTTTTGCCATGAAAAGAAGCAAAATCGACCTTTAACCAAGAAGATTTATTTGCTTTTATTAAGCAACATTCATGAAATATTCATACATCCCACTTTCAAGAAAAACCACTGTCTACCCGCATCAAATCATGCACCACCACGGTTTAGGCAGGCTTCTCAATGGATGTGTGTTCCTTTCCAGCCAATACATATACTGAACTGTTATATGTTTAACAGTAGGCAATAGCTTAGTTGAAGCGCTGAGATCTAGTGTATGATTTAATTTAAGTAGATTATTTTTTTTATGATAAGGAAGTTTGAATTTATGCATCGAAAAACAATAATATTTTGGTTGGGAATTTAAATCAATAAATTTCGTCTGGTATAATTTTTTGTGTAAAATCTTGATAAGAAAACATATACGTATCATAATGTTTAGATTCGCTCCTTATTTATTGGTACATTAAGAGAATCTGTGACTGTGCAAGAATTCCAAATTCGATTACATGCTACAACTATGGTTTCTTTCATATATGAGTGTGGTAAGAACTTTTATCAAGAATGAGGGTCACTTTTCAGGTTTGATCCTGAAGCATGGAAGTATTTTTTTCTTTTTTTTTTTTTTCCATATCATCAAGTTAAAGGATTGGTGCAGTAATTATATTTTTCCATTTCATTAAAATCTCATATTTTTATTAATTTTATTGTGTTCCAGAAAATATATCCATGCAACAACTGGAAGAAAAAATCAGGAGAGAGATAAGTACTCACGATCCAAAGGTATACCCAGATCCTATCTGAGTCTTAATCAATCTTCTCTTTGAACCAATAATTTCGTTGAAAATATGAATCGTGGGTTTTGAGGACAGCTCTTGAATTAAAATTGTCTTATATGAAAGGAAAAAGCATGTGTCAAGCGCAGGATTATCCCTCGTGGGATACTTGAAGCGTAGAAACAACAAACGAAAGGGTATTATCATTTCGATTCTGACGATAAGCTTGTTCAGTAATTTTTAATTCTTATATTTTTGAAAAGTATACAGTGCACTCAGATCACAGGAATATTCCCAGATTTTGAGCGATATTAACCCTGCAAAAACAAGTTTAAAGTTGCGCATTTCAAGCTTCTACTTAGATGAACATCGTCGAAAAGCCTCGATAATATCTAAAAATATTCTTCTTGTTGCAGCCACAACCTTGATCGCGTGTTGAGCCTCTGTTGCAATTTAAAGGCTGTGAAGCTGCGTGTTGATGAAGGTTGCAAAGACCGTGGGTTGCAAGCAGCATTCGAAACTCACCTTTGAGTTTCAAGAGCCATGTGGAGCATCAAGCTCGATTTTTAGGGGCCATTGAAGATTTTTTAGGGGCCAGATTGACTTTTTGTCAATATATCACGGCGCATTTAGTGAAAAGTTAGACGCAAGATGTTTTAGTCACAGAAGTAACTGTAACTTGGGGAAAATTTTGAAAATTCACAAAAAAGAAAAATTAGGATTTTTTTTTTTATTGTGGAGGCAGGGCAATTTTTAGGGGTCACGTTGGCGCAGAGCCTTCACTTTTTAGGCGCCATGACCGATTTCTTAGGGGCATTTGGGGCGTTGGCGCCTGTGAATTTTGAACACTGGTCGTAAGGGAATAGTGCAATCGAGAGCATGGCTGCGATGAGAAGGATATTTTTGGACGCCATATTGGTTTTTCTCCGAGAAGTATTTGAAGGGGAGACTGCAACATTGCAATGCAAGGTACATACTTTTGTAATTTCACAATTAATGCACATGGTCAAGTTAACGAGTGGAAATCACGACTTGATGTATGTTGGTACAATAGTCACTCACCATTCTGCACAGTCGCTACATTAAGACAATGGGGATTGCTAGCCTCTAGACTGTCCCGATAAGACTGATGATACATTTTTTAACCTCATGAGATCGGGATTAGTCTCGGTAATGTTCAGAGCAATAGAGGCTCAATTAAGTGGGGTTTACTGCATATTCACCGTTTGCCAACATTTTGTCTCAATTTTCTGGTTACATACTTGGTAAATCGGGCTGTAATACCCCCTCCCCCCCCCTTTCTTTTTCATGACGTAATATTTCTCCAAGTTGAGAATCATAATTTTCTATATTAATCTCTTGTTTCTTTGTTTCGTTTTTCCCCTCCTTTTTAGTACAGTATTTAAAACTGCCAAATCCAGATCAAAATGAAAAATTCCTAACAGGAGACGGACAAAGTTCTGGTTCTGAATCTGAAGGTTCAAGGTTTGATAAAGGTAAGTCAAGAAACGCACAGCAGAAAATATAGGTAAGTCAAGAAACGCACAGCAGAAAATATCTTTCCAATCTTATTTCTTTTTCATTAAAAAATTACTCCCAAGTTATCTTAAAAACTGATTTTATTACTGAAAACTCAAAAGAACATTGTTTTACTAAATGCGTAAAGAAATAAGCGTAATGTAATCAATTTCAATTAACAATTTATCATGGACTTTAAATACTTGAGTAATAAAAATCACTGCAAACCGATTTACTTAGGATCAAACAAATTCAGCACTAAGAACCAGTGTCTTTCAATAAAACTTATTTTAGAGTAAGTTTTACTCAAAACAAATTGTTTTAAAGTAGGTACCTATGTTGAATTAACAAGTGAAGTATGTACTATGATCGGAACATCTCCTGTGTCTTGAAATCTGACTCATGACTCAATGTTGAGATCGTTTTTTTTCTTCCTTTCTTTGTTTTTTATGAGCAGGAGAGTGCTCAAAAGATAACAAAGGTGTCTTGGTTGACAAAGATGGGAAACCTCGTAAAGACATCAACGAGAGCCATAAGAGGAGGTTAACCAGTGGAACTCAGGGCACCCTTGATTCCATCCAGAATCCTCCGACTCTAGATCTTCAAGGTGGGCAGAATTCTCAAAATTGTTGAATTTTTTCATTGTGATAGTGCAGTTTTAAGCTGTGTCCTTCGTGGTTTTCGTTACTACTCTAATTTAGATCGATGAATGAAGAATCCTTCCCATTTTTTCTTTTTTAGGAACGAAATTTGTCTTTCCATTTTCTTCTCAAAGTCTCAGTAGAAAAGGAGAGAGTAGGTATTGTTTTGTCTCGAGAGTTCAAGCAGTGTTTAAAATTCAGATAAAGGACATGAAACTATGTATTTTGACTGGCATATCAATATGTATCTCATTTTTAGAAGCCAATTTAGAGAATCACATCTCAATATTTGCGGTGAGTACAGAACCAAAGTTAAATGACTCTCGTCAAAAACGTTCTAATCAATGTCGTATGTAAGCACTCTTTTTAAAAAGTGTCCTCTACTCATTGTTTTCCATAATTGTTTTTCCCTTCAGGCCAGGATAAAACAGGGAATGGCCATAGTTCCTTTCAAGCAAATCTACCTGAGAGGATATTGACTTCAAAAATAGCATCCGATTCACAATGGCAGACTCATTTGGGTTACTCAGGATATAGCACCTCTGAGGAATTATTACTTGGAACAGTTGAGTATCCAGAAGTTGATACTTCAGTTCAGAAATTGAAGAATCCCAGCAGAAAAAATCTTGAAAAACCGGCATTAAGGAAAGCACCTGTTCGTACAACTTCCGCTTCCCTCAAAATTAATGTTAATACTGCTGGATATGAAACTACAGCAGGTGAAGAAATTAAATATGTTCACCTTTTACTGAAGCACGGCTATAAATACAGAAGCTATTTCTTTCAAACTCTTATCCAAAAATGTTTTTTAAAATGGGAATAGTGGTATTGGAAACTATAAAATCCTATTTAATGGGTAAAAGATTTGAGAAATTTTATCTTTACTGGTTGGCATGATGAAATCTGAGGCGAATTTTCGCGAGTAGATTTGGTCGAGAGACTTTTTCAGGGGATACAAACAGCAGCACAGTAGGTGTAAAAGTTAGCATGAGAAAAAGTTTTTTGTTGCTGCTGTTTCGAGTACTTCTGATGGCAATTTCGAATTTTACCATTTTGATACTCACCCCTAAAAAAGTGAAAATTGCAAAAAACCCGAATTGGTGTATTATCATTCTCACTGATTGTGAATTAATTATGAGATTTAGTGGGGCAAATTATCAAAAAACTAAAAGCCATGGTTTGACAACCATTTGACAATTCGAATCAATAAGGATGAAGTGATAGAATTGACCAAACACACAACTTTATGCCTGCTCAGTTTATCGTAGCCCACTAGCAGAGAGAAAATCTCTTGAGTTTCCAAGATCACTGATTGCCATCAACGTTATCAATTATCTGAGCAATAGCTAACAGGAGGTTTTGATACAGTTGGGAGACCTCTCGGCTTCATGATGAGACTCCTATTTCATATTGGTGCATCTTCAAAAACTTATCCCTCATGGGAGCTTGGTTATTTAAACAACAGTCATATGGATGAAACAATGTTCCATGTCCATGCTGCCTTCTAAAAAGGAGGAGGCAGACATTAATCTATCTTTGAATATTTGAAGAGTTAAAGAAAGAGCGGCTGCATGATGAAACTGCTATTGGAGATTACAAAGACGTCTGCTTTCGAAGTGAATTTCACGCTAATTGATTAGGATGATGAGCAGGTTGTAAGTCGACCAATTGAGAGATGTTCAGATGGTGCGTTATTACTTGATTAGCACCGCGAAATAATTTTATTCCAGAAGGGGTTTATTCGTATAATGTTTTTCAGTGTTGAATCGTAACCTTTAATTAACTTGTCAATGCACCTTTCCTCTAGGCCTTGATGCAAATTTTTGCGATGACCCAGTCCTTTTCAGAACAAAATGGTCTAAGAAGACCACCTTTGATGAAGTCCAACATCGCCAAGAGACAGCTAACTTGCAGTGGCAGTCACATACTTGTCGTTCAGGGAACAGCTCAACTACTGAGACTGTAATCAACACTATCAACTTAGACAGATCAACGGAAGGACAAAAAGACTCCCAAAGAAAGCACTTCAAAAATGTGATCAGTAAAGGAAAAGAAATTACTCATACATTTCCAACTTTTAACGAAGCAAAATCAGAAGAAATGAAGAATGAAACAGGGGAGGGTGATGAAATAGATATTTTTACTTTACTTCCAACAAGGCGATAGGCACCTCCAAGCACTTATATTTTAGAGTAGTTTTTAAGCTACTTTTTCAAAAATCCACTTTTTTTTATTCAACCTGAGTTTGTTCTGTAGTGTAGTATATATATTTATTTATCTCTTAAAAGGGACGAAATTGGTATTGCCAAACTGGCATTGTGCACTCATGGTGAGAGGATTACAGAGACAGATAAGTCATAGTCTATCTTTGAGAAGTTATCTTGAGAAGTGTAAAAAAATAAAAACTTTCGGATCATATTTAGTTGTAAACTTGTGAAAATGAAAGGGAGAGTCTGCTCACCATTAGAGAGAGGAGGCTTTTTAAAACTGAGCCTCGTTCTCAGTTCAATTCTTTTTCTTCTTACTTTCAGCTTGTTTCCTGCTGAATATTTTATTAGCACAATCATAAAATATCACTGTGTATTCTATGTTTAAATAGAAAATAGAACAGCTCTGTATTTTTGTTTTCCTGCTAAGGACTTATCAATAGCTGTGGAAATGTATATCATTGTCTTTAATTTCACCATCGATCATAGTTTGAGGTCATCTTAGCCCTATAATTTGTGTTTTGTACTGAAGATGATTAAAAGTGGGCGGAATATTGTTTGGGTATTGATCGGTGAACATCGTTTAGGTGCTGAAACAGGCCGATGCTTTGATTCTATTAGCATAACCTAAGTCCTCATTGAGTTAATAAAGCCACAATTAGAGGTGCCTTTGTTATCTTTAACTTATTTGTCTGCTCTGGGATTGGATATCTATGATGTAAATCACAACCCTTTATAAGATGCCCTATCATAAGATGGTATCAAACGGCTATTGACCGTGAAATAAAGCACTGACTACAATATTTGGACGTATTTCTATCACACGGAACTAAGCGCCAATTTGAGTTCCTTTTGAGGAATTTAGAATCCCGGATAGCGCGTTCTGTCAAACGGACCTAAGTGTCACGGAAAAGCATTGCGAGGATAGGACGGAATAAGCCGGACGCCCGATTCCGCCGCCAATCCAAGCCCCCCTCTACCTTCCTCACCCTATGGCGCTTAGGTTCGTTTGATAGAAATACGTCCATTTCTGGCTGTGCCATTATGTCATGAGTGGTGCCCTATAACCTGAAGTGAGTGACAAATTTTTAAAAAAATGCAGCAAAATTTGTTGATCAATTCCTGAACTAATTGTGAGTACGAAATGTTTGTTAAGAGCACACGTAGAATGGGCCACCATAAGCATAGCCAAAATTACTAATGAGGATTTCAACATAGTTTTGGGCAGTTGTATTTTCAGTATGTTTTCAAGGTGCATGTGGAAACATTGGCATGCATTGCAAGAAGGTGTGAAAGCCACGACAACTTATCATAGGAGGAAATACTCGTTTTTTAAAGGAATAGATTTCAGGAAAGTGGAAATTAAAAATTCATTTCATTGAGGGAAATTCAAACAGCTTTACATACATCACTTGTCTTTAGGTGGATATAAATATTCACAGAACTTAGCTCAGCAATTAAATATTTAAGAATATAGGGGACTTCCATATTTCTAATGTGACTTGAATCTTTACATAAACTACACTTGATTTGAGTCTCGGAATGATCTTTGATTATTTCTGACCTTGTAATGACTGGTCCAATGAGTGAGCCACATTTACTGCAAACAATAACCTGAAAATAAAAATTAGCGAAATAATTTTAAACTGAATAACGTTGCTAAAAAGAAAGGTGGGATAAGGAAAATAATACTAACCAGCTTACTATCTCTTTTTTTCCTACCTGCCGGCAATTCATCCGAAGAAAAAGCTCCCATTAATCTTCATTCCTCCATATAGAATTCTTTAAAAAACCTTCCTTGCTAAGCCAATTGTATACTCCGCTTTGGTCGCTCTTGTGAACTCATATGAATGGAAATGACTGCTACAACTCTTACCGTTGCCTACGAGAATGGAGAGGCCGTAACTAGTCAGTTTTGTGACGTCAAGCTAGTAGGTATTTACCAAAAACAACAGGCATCTCCAAATCATCGATGCATCGATGAGTGAGGCAGTCGCTGCGTGGACCAACCAGAGTGGCCCTCGATCGGCCGAAGTTGCGCGAAGCGGCTCTCGGCCCATTTGAATCTGAGTGGAGTAACGATTTTCGGCATTGCGCTTTCATTTCCTTTATTATTAGACAATGTCACACATGGGTTAGTTAGTTTTCTAATGTGAATTTTATCCTCTTTCGAAAAGGTTCTCATGAAGTTTTGCATCAGATCAATCCCTGGAAAGTTATTGGCACGAAAGAAACACGCGTCGGGCGTTCTCCCATAAGAACACATGTTAAAACAGCGGCTAAGTTTCATCTACTAGCTTAACGTCACAGGAACGTAGTTACAGCCTCTCCATTCTCGTAGGCAACGCTCTTACTCTTTCGCCTAGTATGTCTATTCTTCCGGCTACATAGTCCATTCTACAGTAACATGTGGTAAAATCTCAGTTTTATCAACAACATAGTCTCCGATAGTGATATGCTCAAGTCCTCTCTTCCATCCTAATTTAAAACACAAGATTCAGAGACCCCCCAAAACTGTTCGGACATCCTTGACTCACTCCAAGATGATAATCTTGGTGCAAAATTTGAATTTTGAAGCTGCTACATTCACCACGTGCAAAGAATAAATAATATTCATACAGAACATATTTTTGGAGGATTTCTACTTAGTTTTGTGGCCTTTCCTTATTTCTTGCCATTGTCTTATAGAATTTTGCAAAAATGTATGAAACTTCAAACTACTTGAACTTTTCATACTTCAGAGTCCAGAGTTAGCAGTCTCTCTGAGGCCCACAAACTTTGTAAACAAAGGGAGTTAGGACTTTAAAGGTTTAAATTTTGACAAAAATATACAGACTCATTTATTCCAGTTATTATTAAGTTAATATTATTTTATTTACAGCCATACAGTTAGTTACACGCATGACTGGCTGTTGATTTAAGTTACTAGAATGGGCGACTAGATAAGGTGTGAATTAGAGCGCCTTCTTATATGTATGTTTCTTCTTTAAAGCTCAACATAGAAAGCGATTAACACAATGCAAAGTTCAGAAAACAACTCCTTAGGAAACAATTAACATGTTCGCTTGACAATGATCAAATAAAACTTGAATTATGCAAATGACATCATTTGTATTCTCATCATTCAACTGATGTTAGTTATAAACTCTAGTATCTTTTCAAGGAGTGGATTTTTGAACTTCCCGTTACGTTAATCCAATTTTGAAGAGAGAACATGTTACGGAGGGTTTCAGTTCTTGCCTAATTTGGAGCCTCATTGTTTCTTCCCTTTTTTCGCTTACTTACAACTTGATTTAAGAATGATAACTTACTGTTGTTCTATCCGAATTTAAGAAAAGTCTGTCTTGGAGAAGGTAAGCAGCACCGTGAGATAAGAGAGAATCACGTTCCATCTCTCCGAACCTGACTCCACCACCTTTTTTACGACCTTTAATGGGCTGCCTGGTTAAACTATCAATTGGGCCAGTGCTTCTTACCTGTTAAAATTTAAAAATGTTGGGTGACTTTTTCACATGAAAAACTAGATTGGTTTGTTCTCTTTAAAGTCTTCGATTAAAAAAGGATGGTCTCTTGTTCAGAAATAGATTTCAAAATTTTCCAAGTAAATTGAATTTCTCATGCAACATTATGAAGACCTAGTACTAGTAGCTACAAGTGTTTCATGAGGGTTTCATTTTTAGCAGATGTTCAAATGCTGATTCTTCAAAACAAATTGTAGAAGTGCTATCCCCTATTAATTCAATTTGTTACAATTTTATTCATGCTAAAATTCATATTTTGATAGAAATACAAGCGGCCATTGACATACATTCCCTCTTAAATCCCTTCATTTCTCAGACCTCATTTCTCAACCAACTGAGAGGAAGAAAATATTTTGTAGTTTGAGCTCTTGACTCCTGTCAGGTAGTCATTGACAAAATTTGATTATTTATAAGTTTATTTTAGTTAACCTTCCGAGTTCACTTCACTGATTTTTTGTGAAATTCCTAGTGCTTTTTTGCCTCTCATATCTCTTGCTCATTTTTTTCAAATATAAGATCTGTTAAGTAAACTTACTTGTCTTGCCTCCATCTCCTCTTTCCTCACTAACCAAACTCATGCTAGAAGTCTCTTTTCCGGAAGTTTTCCTTTCCCAAATTTCTTGGGAAGTACTGGAATCTACCTACTTCCAAGATGAGGTTAATTATATTTTGCAATAGAGAACTAATAAATCTGACTAATTATATGAACAACACATGCATCATTGGAATCCCGATGCAGAGGGGTGCTCTTATAAAGAACCAGAAATCGCAGTTCCTTATTGCAAACAGTAGTCTACTCAGCAAGTGGTTGACTCACTTGTCGATCGACTGATCGACAAACTTGGACTTGTGATCTATTTTATAAGTATTTGACCATTATGTTTCTGTGATTAAAAATTAGAAAGGTGACAAAATAGAAAACGATGTCAGTTACAAACCTGCCATTTATCAGCAACCATGTGTCTCAGTCTCTGGTAGTGAACAATACCAAAAAATATTGATGCCTTCATTTCTCTTCCATTGGTCCCACTGTACATGCGTTCAGTGCCATAATAATTGAAACCACCTGCTTCCAACAGCTTCCCAAAATAATCAATTGCCGTATTTTCCTCGTTGAATTTGAAGGGTGTTGCATCGTACTTCATACCATGCAATGCTGCAGATTTTCCAGCCATCATTTCAATCATCATGGCTGAAAAATGGAAAATTTTAGAGGTTGAAAAAAAATTAGAGGAATTATATTAAATATAAAAATATGAGAAAACTATGACAACAAAAAAGACAAACGTATAAAACAGCTTGAAAAGTCTAAGAGTCTATAAGTAATTAAAAACTGAAATTTTTACACTGAGTTTTATAGTTTTAGGCCCCCTGTCCACCTCCGGAAAACTACATCATGCTTTGCCAGACCTTAGGTAAGACCAAAAAAAATTGCATTTTTTACAGGGATTTTTACAATGCACAATTGTGCAATAGCAAGTGTGAGGTCCCACTCACGTATCTGGCATTGAGCCAGTCCCCTTCCACCCCATGATAAGTAAAGAAATTTATGAGCAGCATTGACAAGCTTCCAATGGCGATTGGGAGTCGCAGAACGCTCTGGTGCGCTGAGGTAGCAACTTGATATATATGCCCACAAGCTATTTTCGTATTATTATCATAACTTCTACCAAAGGCCAGGAATGGGAATACTATATTCATGGCACACCAACTCAGATATGATGTGATAGTTTAAAAGTAACTTTGTTATCAAGGGTCTAATGAGGGCTTAGGTATGTTGAATGGATCAAATTCAAAGTGGGCCACGGAAACTTTCGACAAATTTTTCAGATGGGGTCTCGCAAATCATGAGAGCACGGGTAAAATAAAATGACGATAATTTATATGAAAAAAAATCAAAAAAAAAGAGGAAAGAAAAAGTCGCAACTCACTTCATTCAGATTCACGATTTTAATTACTGTTTTAATCTGAAAAACTAAGGAAAAAGGAAAGAAAAATTTGGCTCCACAGCCGGCTCATTGGTTTAGGAAAAGGAATTTCTAGGCTGACAAACCCTCAATTGGACGTATTTATGCTAAAAGTAACTTGAAAGTGAAAATGAATCAAATTGAAAGGAACATTGTGCACAGGGTTTGTAAGGTACTTAGTCCCTTCTGATTCAATCCGTTTGGGCTTAGTTTCTTTCATCATTAATTAGTCCAATTTTGGCTATGTTACTTCAATCAACTGAAATACTGTAAGATTTCAGTTGCAGCTGATCAACCAACCATGGGGGCCCAGGCGTCAGCTGCCACCTATGCTATATGCCCATTCTCCCCCTGCAAAGAAATCATGCCAAATAATTAAGTTATGAACATCTTTGTGATAAGAGATGACTTACCGATGGTCATACGAGAGGGAAAACCGTGGGGGTTGAAAACAATGTCTGGGACTAGACCACTTTCCGTGAAAGGCAAGTCTTCAGATGCCCATAGATAACTACAAATTCCTTTTTGCCCAGCTCGACTCGCAAATTTGTCACCAACAGACGGAGCTCTTGGGACTCGATATGTTATGCTGGCTTTCAAAATATTCAGCTGTTTGGCTTGTTCGTTGGTATCAATGGTTACTCGGACATTTTCAACATAAATTTCGTCTTTAGCTTTCAAATAGCCTACAGCATAATTTTGAGTTTTAGCATCAAAGTAGCAATACAGAGGATTGCCTTTCAAAAGTCTGGCGCCAGGATAGGGCAGTCCATCTATATCTAGGAACTCCGCAAGCATTTCTCTTTTGGGATCTCGCTCAAAGGCGGAGGAGACATTTTTCAATTCAATGACTTCAGACATGAGTAAAGACCCGTATGCAAATCCCCTTTCTACTGACTGTTTATTCAGAACCATGGCATCTTCCATATCATACCCAGTGTAGGAGACAACTGCAACAATTGCATTCGTTCCCATTGGAAAATCATCCATCTGCAACTCATCATAGAAGGAGGTCTTGAAAAATGGTGAACCAGGCGTTTGAAGTCTGTACAATTTAGTATTATCGCGTCTATGAAAATTATGACATGGAGTTCCCATGGTTTGTTTTCCCATTTGGCACTGGTACATGTTACGTGGACTTTGGTTACAGTCAGGCATTGGAATCAGGTTGGCTAGGTTACTCAAGAAATGAGTCTTTGATAACTCCATATGAGTTGTCCGTCCTGGATACATTTCTTCTGGGCAAATAGCTATGTCCATGTATACTTGTTCGAAAGTGCCAATCAACTCCTCCTTGTTCAGCGCTAGATGTTTGACTGGCCTCATCATTCGAGCTGGTGATGTGAACAAAAACAAACCAGGGAACTGTGATGCACCCTTCATTTCTTTGTACTCGATTAAGACAATCTCTAGTGTTCGTGGCACTTCTTCACCCAGAACTTTTTTCACTCGTAGCTTATTGATAAGGTCAATACTGATTTCAACAGCTAGGAAACCCACTACTCTTCCATCCAGGAGGACTGAATAATGTGATTTTGGTTTTCGACGGAAGGGAGTTGATGTTACAGCTTCCATTCCTAAGGATAACAACACCCCCAGTAAATTTTCTACTAATCTTTCATTTGGCATTGGAGACACCTGAAAAGAAAAGGAATAATTTTTTAGAAGACTTTAAATACGGATAAACAAAAAAATCAGGGATGCAGAAAATCCTTGACGGGCCGGCCGCAGGAGAACTGTGAAGGCATCTGAAAAAGGAGGGAAAATGTGAAGGCACCTGAAAAGGCAGTAAAAATGTGAGGGCAAAAGGCATTTGAGATTTTTCTATTCTGAATTTTAATAATATTTCTTCAGATGAATGCGCTACTTTTTGAGGGAAACCATTAGACACGTTATTTTTGAGATGGAAACTGCTAAGTGTATTATGCCAAGGAAACTGTGTCATGTGCTCTTTTATGTAAACACTGACACACAAGTGTTCACTGTAACAGTGAACACTTTAGTATTATGTAGATGGCAGTGTGAAGGGAAAGTAGTCTAATATGAAGACAGCCTCAAACAATTTGAAGGCAAAGAACTTTCTTCACCCATGAAAAAGAAAAAAGCAAGGCAGAGTAGATGATTGTGCAAAGATATTACAGTTTAGTACAAAAAATTCTGTTGGCTGAGTGCAACAGATTTTAGACAACAGATCATAGGAAGATTGGAAATTTCCTTCGTGGATTTATCCGTTCTTAGCAAAGTAAAAATACATGGCTGTGGCTGAGTAATAACAAAGAAGATTTCATAAAAAGAGAATTGAGTGAAAAGGATTTTTGCTGGTACCTTGCAACTTTTGCTAAGATGGTTCAATAAACCACAAGGAGCTCCGTCAGGAGTGTGCACAGGGCAAATGAAGCCCCACGCTTCGGGTAATAGCTGTCTTACATCTGTTGTTCTCATTTCTGAAAAGTAGGCTCCTCTGTGAACAGCTCTGAAGTGAGACATATACCTCATTCGATTAATGTTCTCTGGGTTCACCGACAATCCTGTATATAATACATCCAAGAGAAATAAACTGAATTATCTATCACTGAAATATCTATTAGGTTTGTTCTTTCTTGCATATCCAAAATTGCAGATTAAGAAAAAAAATTCTGGACACCTGTGGTTGAAATCCAGTAATTACCTTCGCCCTCACAATACATAAAAAAGCAAATAATTGTGAGCAAACTGTGGTTTTAAAGCATAATAAAAGATTTTTCCTCCTATTAAAAATCATTAAACATGGGGGGGGGGGGGGGGAGTACCTATTTTGATCCCTGAGACACATGTAAGTGATGGACATACGACAAAGTGAGCAATTATAGGTTTGAATTACATAATTCTTCATCAGTTTAAAATTCACAGCATAAATGGGAGCAATTGAAAAAAGAAAAAGGCAATCACATTTTACAGGTGAACATGCAAAAACTCACCGGTACTTTGTTGTAGTCCTAAATTATCTAGACTCGTCAAGTTTCCTGTTCCTATCAACGTCTTCATTCGCAATTCGATATACTTATTGCATTTACTGATACTGGATCGGAGTTCCACTGTATTGGAAAAATTGAGAACAGTTGATGTAAGATAAACGGAATGCAGGTATCCACCACCACCAAAAATAATTTTGATTGTATATTTGGGCTGTAATCTGAACTAACAATCAAGGACAATGATCAACCAATAGCTGGTTACACATGGTTTATACAGCTAAAAAGATGAAAATATCAAGCCTCTATCAAGACATTTTTTTGCAATTTTTTTTTTTTTAGCGAAGTTTTCTTCCCGTATCATCATTTTTAAAAATGGAAATTTGGAGGGTTTTTTTTNGGGGGTTCTTTTATTTCAAGCTTACCGATAATGCAAGCTCTGTAGTTGCGAGGATACTGAGTCCCAAGGAGGGAATTCACAAGTACTCTGACTTTCTAAACGATCTAATTAATGTCAAATATTAAGTTTTTAAGTTCAAAATTTTCCTCTGTCGTTCAATTATGGAATAACATGTTTTATTTTTTATTTCTTATTTGATTTGTTTTTTTTTTATTTTTAGCTACATGTTGAGTATTGTGCTGTATACTACTGAAGACAATGATGGAAGCCCATATCAGGAGCATCAATTATTAAAGGAACAAGTCAGTTACCAAACCTACCGATAACCAAAGGCATAGTTGTAAAAAAAATTATCATAAATGCATGAGAAACAACTACGACATTAATAAATGTTCATTTACTGAAAAAGACCCAATGTTTATAAGCTCAGAACGAATAATTATTCTAAAAGAAGTTCCAGGTTCTTTTTTTTGCTTAGGGTCAAGGTCTATATTTTACTAAATGGAAGAAATGTTTTGGTATTATTATCATTTTAGCCAAGGCTTTCTAGTGTCATTAATTATTAATTGTTTGAACTTCCATATATTTCTATAAAACATGAATATAATCAGTGTATATTTTTCCACTGAGTCTTGCAGAAAACTCCATTTCAAAGGTCTGAATCATCACAGAGTTTACAGTGAGGGATAATTCTACAACAAATAAGGGGGGGGGGGGAGTTATACTTACGAGGATTTAGATTATACTTCGGATTGTCTCGTTTCACTATGTTCTCCTTGATAATGTACAGCAAACTTTGTAATTTATCCTTGAGAGCCTGAAATTAATTAAGAAAATAAGTGAGGAGCTGAAATTTGACTGCTGAGTTTGAGTTAATTTTAAAATATTATATCCTCTGTAGAAAAAATAGAAAACCACAAAAATGTGAGCATTAACTAGAGATAATTTTTTCTGCATACTGGTCGTTCGCTTTGGCAAACCATGAGTTAAAATTTTTGGGCAATCTTTTTAAATTGAGTTCAATCTTGGAACATCAAGAAGATTGTGTCAAGACTAGAAATTTTCTTGGTTGAATTAAGTATTGGCTACGATACAATTTAGCCCATAGAATTTGATGTACATTGAAAGGTGGGGAGTTCACCAGGACCAAAAAAACTGGGGGAATACGTATCAATTGTTTGTACAAAGCTTCACTGTATTGGAGAGTATTCTTCATTAAACATATTATTCAAAGGTCTTTTATGACAGGCAAATTCATTAGTTAAACTTTAGAGAAATCAGGGGATAATTTCAAAACAAGACTAAAAAGAAGTCTAGAGAAATGAACTGAATATTCACCCTCGGCAGTTGTTTCCATTACCTGAAGATATAAATGCCCTCCAAGCAAAAGCTCTTGCATCATTGGACCGTCAACAGAGTCCTTCAAACTGTCGTTTTGAACAACACTGAATAGCTTTTGAAGCATGAAGACTAGGCATTGGAATTTGTCAAAATAACTTTCTGCATGAGGACAAATACACTCTCTAAAACAATTAAAAAATTATACAATTTTATCAAAATACAAATTTGCGGTAGCATATACATCTAAGTCATAATATTGTTGCGTAGCTACGGTTGTTGACACTGATATCTTACTTAGCATATCAATTGTGTAACTGCAAAAAAGTGAACCTCAGTATCTCAAAATCTCTGCTCCTATTTCATTTTTTAAAAGGAGACTGCACGATCATCGAGGCTTGAGGTGTTCATAGAATATTCTTCACATAGAGAACTTAAATCACCAAAGTTATCAAGAAATAGCATTTAAGAGTTTTTCATGTTTAAAATGAAGTATGACAAGGAGTTGGCAAGACTGTAAACTGAGATATACATTTCTGCAATTTTGAAAAAGGGTGACCGCTGACTTCGGAGAAAAATTGCCATACTGTAGGAATGCCCATAGTTTAGTTAACTTATTTAGGCATAAAATCTGGTTTTTTGTCTCATTATTTCCTCTTAAATTCATGTGAAATTCAGGACAACTTCAGAGGTGGATTGAAACTGTCTGCGGCTGTGATCATAAGATAACTTGTGACGTCTTTTGCAACCTTGAGAGTAAATTTTGAAAATTATAGTTTTCGGTAAAAGTTTTCCCCCATCATGACAGTTTCTTCAATGCCACGAGATTCAGGATGACTGAATGAGATCAGGTAACGGCCTGATTTAACTGGACTGTATTTCGATTGCGAATAGTAGCTTCTCATTGAAGAAGCTACTATTTCTGACTCATCCGTAAAAGCAGCTACATGAATGATTAACGAATCTTTTAGAGCATACACAAATTGTTTCTAATATGAGTCACAAATAATGGTTACTTCATACATAATGCAGTCCAACTGTTCGCTTAATTTTGCGCAGTCATGGAAAATGGGAAAAACTCACGCATTTAAGTTTTTTTTTTAAATGTTTCATTTACATCATCATTGAGAACATCTTAACAAATCCGCAGTCACAATGATCAAATTAGTAGGATGACAATAAAAGATATGGAAGAACGTTTGGTGGAGCCAGTATTGAGGTATTCGGCCGTTTTCATTCATAATGTTGAAATAGGTAATTTTACTGTTCAAATCCACGTTTTTGAAAGAGAATTTGTAAGACATTGACACAAATGAAAAAGTATACTTGAAATTTTACCTTAATATAAAATCACAGACATCAACATTAGTTTCCAGTGTAGGCAGATCATAGCTGAATTTTACTTTGAATGCGGCACCAAGGTATTCTTGAGCGTCTTTATGCGTAACGATTTTCTCTGAGTAGAGTAACTGAATCATACTTAATACACAGCTGAAACAGAACAATGATAACTTAAAATTGTTGGAGTGAATCCACCAATGAGACAAGAGCTGAACATGCGTTTTCCAATCGCTTCTTGCCACTTTCTCTTGGAGAGACAAGGAAAAACCAGCATTGTTAAGTCGAATAACAAGATTTCCATACGTTCTTTCAGGAGGAGCATGAAATTTTCTAATTGGGAAGATTGACAGCAGATAATATTATACCCTATATTTTGTTTCTCTTTACTTCTAAGAAAACCGAAAAGTTCATTAAATGTTAAAAAAAGCATTTGTCAGGGAAGAAAAAGCTAATCCAAATCCAACGGTCGATTTGATGTATCAAGGCGATGCCTAAAGGTTAGTTCGGCCGATAAGCAAACACCGTTTCTCTTGCCTAGCTACGTCATCCAAGCTTGCCAGAAGTATCGTCGCAAACAGGCCCCATTTTTGGCATTAATGGCCATTAGTGGTTGCAAATGTCTGAAAAAATCCTAGAGGCTTAATTCAACCCTGTAATTTCAGAAAGTGAATGAAAAAATGGGTGCCACCGACCCATTATTACACCGATTGATGAGGATAACAAAGTTGTAAGACTCATTACCTTTTGAAATATAGATTATCCTGGAATCCAGACATGATGTGATTAAAAATATGTTCATCCGAGCAGTCTAATAGCGCCTTCATTATTAGCATCACAGGTGCAAAGAAAATCATTTTTCTATGAGTGAACATCAATTTGGCAGTTCCATCAGTGACAAAATGAAGAACATTGTTCTAAAAAAAAAAACCCCAAAAAACATGTGAATGATGTATAGCAAGGAGGAAAGTCAAAAGCTTCTCTTACACAAATAAAAAAACAAAACAACGTAATCGGCCCAAAACGATGATAAAAAATCAACTTAAAATGAGACCATGGCCACGAAAACATAAAATAAAAAATGCAAGACATTTCACAGTATTACAACTGCATTTTCAACCGGAAAACCTCTTATACAAACACTCTAGAGTGAAATCTTCTTTGGCAGAGCGTGAAGATATGCACATTTTAGCCAGATGTAGGTAAAACAGAAGTGGATCTGGATCATGATTGGTTTTATCCTCAAGATGTCTTTGTATTGTCAAGTATATGTGTAAGAGCAGCTAATAAAGGAAAGTTGGAAATAATTTACTTGATAAGAGTAATTTCAGGCAAGTGATGTAATGCATTTCCACGATGGACCACCAGAAAGGGTACAAATTTCGGCATGCTAATAAAAGTTTCCTCTTCAACATACTCCGTGCAGCGAAAATTACTGACATCAACTCCTAATCAAGGCACTGATATTTTAATACAGCACTGGTTACAGAGAATTATAATTTTAATCTCACAAGATAAACTAGGGTTCACAAGAATCATATGGCACACTAGGTGCAATGTTTTTAGCCGGATTCTTGACAAAGCAGCATTCCTTCCCCACCCTGTGTTAAATGAAATGTGAACAGTGTGCAACAGCTAAGCCGAAGCACCAATATTGAAGTCGCTATATTTTCATACCGCATGGATGTTACAGTAATCATTTGTGCAATTTAATTCAAGTAGATTATGGTTTTTTATGAGCAGGAAGTTTGAGTCCATGCGTTGAAAATATTGATATCTCAGTTAGAAGTTACTAACAATAATTTGCGTTCCACAAATTGTATTCTGTGTGGAATGTTGAAAGGAAACCGTACATTATAATACTAGAATTTGTACCTTGTCTGGGAGCCCATTGATTCAATTTAAAAACAATCATAAATTCATCATGCCTCAAGAAACTCTGAATTCTAGCAAACCCTTGAGACATTAGGGTAACGTCTACTCATCACAAAGCACTAAGAAAGTTGCAGCCCTGCCAAGTTTCTGCATTTATTGGTGATGGGCTGCTGTGCTGGTCACCAACCACATGCTGTGGCTTCGAAAAGATACATACGTAAACACCCTCCAGCTCCTGAAATCATTCACATTTTAGATTGAGTAACTCCTCAACTTGCCATTCACTCCTCCAAGTTGTCACACGGCAGCAGCAAATCAGCATCTTGTCAGCTATTCCAGGCCCATTTTCCACCAGCCCTTTTGAGAGCAACCAAATTTGATTATGAGCACCTACAATAGCTTCAATGTACTAAAGACATTCTGGTGCTGGTTTAGCATATTAAATGAGGCCACTTACTTACAAAACAGTTACTGTTAACTTAAAATTCTACCATGTTCAACAAGTCTCGATGTATCTGAGGTGTATTCTAATTTTAAACAATTATTCAAAATCATCACAAGGGTTTCAAGAAACCTCCATGACGTTTCAGATTTCTCATTCACTTACCTTTGCAGTTTGGTCCTGTTTGACACATCGCATTTGAACGCCTATGTCAGAGAATAATGTGCCTCGATCTTTCCATGTTGATCTTTTCAGGGCAATTGGATAATTACGCCTTGTTTGAATCAGCATACGTATTAAACGTTCATTACCACCAACAATGAAGTATCCGCCCCACTCACATGCATGTTCATTCCTTTCAATTAATTCAGCTGGTTTAAGCTGAGACAAGTTACACTTGCGAGACTGTAAAAATTTTAAAATAGAGGTTACAGCATTGCCATATCACTGAGAAGGTTGGAATATTTTATTTAAAATTTTTTCCTGAGTGTTATTTCTTCAGTTCAAGCAATGAGTAATTGGAGACGTTCAGTCATTAGTGACTACCTTACGGAGGCAAATTTTAAACAGACTACTTGGAAATGGCAAGTTAGATCTTGTCAAAGTCCTTTCATGTCCTATTGCTTTTCTTTACAAGTGATCATTACATCTACAACATTCTCTGGGCATGTATTACTATGGTCACTTTTAAAAAAGCAGAAAGCAGTCCTCTTGGCTTTATAGGGATCTTATTTAGAATAGGTTTTCCAGGGGTCCACAATTCCGAATTATTTGCAGAATAATAAAAAATATGCTCTGACCATCAATCTACAGATCTTTTAAACCCTTAAGAGTAAATATAGTTAATTGGATTATTTCCTTTTTCATCCTATTTTGCTCTAAGTTGAGTCTTCAAAAACAAAAAGAGTGACACAAAGAAATAAACAAAAAACTGACCTTGAGCATAATGGGCACTCTACCAACTTCCATTTTGATGAGTGGCTGAGCAACTCCATCTTCTGACCAACCAAAGGTGATGTCTAAGGGAGCATCATAGGTGCATCCTCTCAGACGGGCTTCTTTAGGATAAAGCTTGGAGACTTTCATTGAACTTGAATCAGTTTTTGTTGGAATATGAATGTCCACTCTCTTTATTTGGAACAAAAAAAGAATTATTAATTGAGAAAAGTAAAAAATATCCATTCAATGAAAAAAAAAAGTAATAGGATTACTGGATAGGTAGTTGCTATTCATAAAAATGATTTAGGTACCGTGTACTTTAACAGCATTTCGAAACAAGAAACATTAATTTGTATTTAGAGTTTCGACACTGATAAAAAACCTAACTAGGGGGTAAAGCTTTATAGTCCTGGACTAATCTCACGTAAAAAACAGGGAAGATTTTGAAGATAAAGTATCCATGCTGAATTTTTAAATTTTCAGCATTAATAGTAAATACCCTTCCCATGTAAAATCTGATGAGAAGAGGTGAGTAAAAATTAAACCACTTGCTAACAGAAAGGTTGCCTTCCCTTAGAAAGTATTACTTCTGAGGCTCTTGAGTTTTTTAAGCTTGGGCCATCAAGAAGATGAACAGTTTGATTGAATCGTTTAGGTTGTAAAAAGAACTCTTATTCTATTGGAATTAGAATGCACAAGTGCCTTTTCTACACTTATTGTCAGAAAAAATGTCAGTTTTTACTTAATAGGGGTGCCACTTAAGAGCATTTGCCCAACCCTGCATTTAGAACTTGGGCCAGTAAGAACCGCTAAGGACCATGACAAGAGTGAAAAATTGTCGGGAGGAAAGTTATACAGGCGTAATTTCAAGGTTCGGATAGGTTATTAGTTGATTTCGTCTGAATTATGTGACTGCTGCTTCACTTTAAAAACGCAAGGAACTTGACACTACTTGCCTGGCCTCGCAACTATCTGAAATGGCACCCCTGGCTTTTAATCATAATTCCGGAAAAGTTCTTCTTTTGCTGTTCTAGAAGGATGATTGTTTAAGGTACCATATTAGTCATTTAAGGATTTTTCCATTCAAGCCTCTTTTTGTGAATTACTTTTAAAAATTATATGAAAAGGAACATGTCCACTTCTAACACAAATTGGAGCATCATTATTTCACGACCAGCTTGGTACATGATGCTCAAAACAGGGTTGATGACTTATTGAATTATGGAGGAGCAAAAATTCCTTTCAGCGAACAGTTGGATTTTCCAGTTCTTACAAAGGTTACTGGTGAAGTATAAGCGTTAGTTTTTTTACATGGAAATAGAAGATAAATACCTGAATTTCAATCCGAATCTTCTTCCCATTTTTTAGGGTGAATGTTATCGGCATGAGACTTTTCAGCGCCTCGGGTAAACCTTCATCGACAGCATAGTTAAAGGAATCAACATGAGGTGCTCCCAACTCTTTTAGGTGCTGTATGAACAAATATTAAAAGCATTGTAATAGTAAGGCAGAGTAATCCAGAGTGAATTGTTGGAATTCTCACACAGGACCAGGAACAAATGATGAGTTAACATCATATCACTCTTTTTTATCCATGGATCAGAATCTTTACATTTCGAAGTGGTTCCTATTCCTAGTGGATCGCATGCAGCCGCTCGCAACCCACCTTGTGAGAAGGGTCTTAGCTTTCCACACAAGGAATGGGCTAAACAACGCCAGTGGACCGGAATAAAAAAGTGAGGTGTTTCATCGCGTTCCACTACGAAACTTTGCAGTTCAGATAAAAAAAAAGCCCTCAGCTAGGAATTCTGTCTTTCTACAGAACCAGAATTGCTCTGATCAGAGTAAGTAAACGGCCCTTCATTCTACGATGAAGGGAGTGCTATCATTTTTCACTCAAACTAGAAAGAGACAAGGATCAATGATAATGTAGGTTTCTATATTCTAATAGACTAAATCATAACTTCAACGATGTGGGATCTTTAGACATTGAGTGACAAGGTAACCTGGGTAATTTCCTTCTCTGACCCAGGTGAGGATTCACCGAACTGACATCTGTTCGGTTCCGCTATTTGGTCTTTAAAGTTTCAGAGAAAAGTCTTGAAGAATAAATTTGATTTTCATGAAAGGAGGTAACAACTTACCTTGTTCTGCTTAGTCGGAACCTGCGAGTAGTTTAAAATATTCGATTTGGAGCTGACCATCTTGGCTTTCACGACACCCAGTAGAAGTTACAGTTTGGAGTTTATTGATGCATCAGATTATATAATGGCATGAAACGATGGAGCCTCATAATTTGGATTTCAGTTATTGAGAAGGGAACCAAGAGTGATTCAGATTCAATGAGAATTTGAGGTTACAACACAACCACGTGCGAATGCTGATTAAAGGAGAACTCAGAGTAGAGATCCTATTCTCGCGCAGCGTTGCAAGCTCTTTTGTTTCAGCGGCGGCGATAAGGATTGCCTCTGATTGTGATTGGCTTACTATGATAAGCATTATTTGGCGGGAACCAGCAACCAATCAGAGGTGAGATACTGAAATGCACTTTTTTCCAATGAGGCTCACTTCTCGAATTGTTCTTCTCTGTCTTCTCTGTGCTCTTATCATTTCTGATTTCTTACGTTCTAACCTCAAAATTTCCTCAGTGTAAACAACCTCGAACATTTTTTAAATCTGAATTGTACATTTGTTTAGTTGCTAAATTATTGTTTCTCTCAAGATCGCAAATTCCAAGAGAAGAAAGTAAGGCTGAAATTTTGTCTCATAACTTCAATTTACTTTTTGACGATTCACCAGGAGCTCGCAGTATGATTGCAAGGTTCAAGTGTAGCACCCGTTTGTTTAGCGTCAGTTCTTTGCGACTTTCAGATGCTGCAAGCTCACAAGCCCAAGTGTCAGAAGATCAAATTAAAAAACTTCTCAAAAAAAAGTTTCCAAGTGCTCGAGAAGTAGAGGTGCAAGACATATCAGGTGGATGTGGCGCTATGTTCGACGTTTACGTCAGCACCGCTGAATTCAAGGGTCTTTCAACCGTCAAGCAGCACCAGTTAATCAACAAAACTCTTCAAGAAGAGATTAAGAATATGCATGGTATCAGAATTCACACAGCTGTACCTGAATAAGAAATTCGAAGGTTGGTAGATATTTACACTTCACTGAATTTAGCTCTTATTTTCGTATCTTACGATTAAAAATTGCTCCCAGATTATGACCCGAGCAGTTTTGCCTCCCCCCTTCCTTCACACAATTATGCTCCGAGATATCTGGATGCCTGCAAAAATTTTCAGTATCCTATCACCATTAATGGGCCAAGGGAAGGTAACAGAGCTCCTATGTTTAGAATGCGTATCAAGGATGAGGAAAGAAATGTCCCAAAATAGTCTGGAAAAAACGTCTGTGCTGTTGTTATGATGACACTATTTTTTGTAGTTGCGCTTACTTTTTTTGCCCTTTTCTTTTATTCACATGCTTGAGTTCTCTCACTTTTCGTGTTTAAGATCTGCCCTCTTTGGACAAAACTCAGTTTAACTCATTGTTTTACAAATTCTTAAGCAACTCGTCTTGAATTAACCTTTAGAACTCCATTTGTCACTGGGGTATGATGAATTGTGTGTAAGCGATTGATTGCTAGCTGGTCCCTGTAAGTAGGAAGTATAGTTGGCAAAAAGAAAGGAATCTCGACCATGAAAGGGTCGCATTTGCAGCTTCTACATTGAAGTTTTAATGGAATGTTTCTGTTACAGGTTCAGTGCAACTTTAGGAACCATTTATGATGCAAGCATATTTCTCATGAAAAAGACTTTCTTCAGGAGGTTCCTGGTTCCTTGTCCTGTTCAGCTCCCTAAATAACCCAAATTTAGAGAAGCCTTCACATATTTTTTAGATGAAGTCGTACACTCTTTCTTGATACGCCTCAGTTTGGATGATAATTACTTCAGGTATTTCATTTTAAAAAGATTCTCCTTTTTTAGTTCAGGCACCTAGCTTTGAGGAAAATTAAATATAGCTGAAAAAACTTTTCTCCTTCCTATTTTAATCACTCATGAAGAAAAAATGGATGATTCATAAGAAAAAAAGGCTACCAAGACCTTACTCAAAGGTGATTCAGAAGTTAGCCTATTTAGATGTTCCCTCAGCAACTAACTGATCTCCATAGAGTTGGTTTCATGTATCTTAGCACAAAGCACAAACATGACAATGTTTGCCCACGAATTTCACATATTTTATGCCACATATTTTTTTGTGACCATTTGTGCAATTTACTTCTTTAAAAATACATCTTTCCAGACATTGTTCTAGTCTGTCGTGGAAAATCCATGAATTTATTTTATGAGGGAAAAATTGAAGATTTTCAAGAGTAAATCTTAAAAAGACTGTTCGTAAGACTTTAAGAGCTTTCAAAATAACAGGCAAAAAGGCTTGCATGGAGGTAAGACTGGAAACTATAAAATCTCTGTGGTTGTTCGAGTTTTTCTATATGCAAATGTAAAAACTCCTCAAGTAAAGTAAGAAAATGTGTAGTAAATTTTTTATTGTTATTTCTTCTTTGATGTTTTATTAAATGCATTCTTTGCTTTTGTTCCATATGGTGTCTATTATCATTTCCCCAGCCTCAGTGCAATCCCAGTAAATTCAGGTTATCTTAATTTGTCTGTACAAAACCGTGACGAAGAAAAAGTGGTATGTTAGAAGAAACTCATTTAACTAAAGATTTTATTTACTTAACACACACTCTTCACATAATTAAGTTCTCCTATTAAGTCAATTAATTTAAGATCTAAATTGTTTCCTTCTAATAGGCTCTTCCTGATTCTATGTGATCAATCTTTCATTTCAAGAGACAGTATCTACATCAATATAGCTTACAAGAATGAAAAAATTGCTGCCGATTTATTAAAAGAAAAATTGACAACACTGCACTTAGGCTTTACATGAACAGATTTTCCAAGTATTCGTTGAAATCTTCGTCTCTCGATTTTTCTTCCTCCGGTAAAATATTGGTTGACTTCCAAACATTGCTAGCATCTTGATCCACTTTATCTTGTTGGCTTGCGCACGGCTCTTCTGATGGCTCATCTTCATTATTTGATACTTTTAATTTTTTAGTTTTGATATTATCCTCCCTTGAATTCTGCTCGGTTGACGGCCTTTTGGACTTAGTAACTTCTTTCCGTCTGTGTTTGTAATTCAATTTGTAGGAACAGTCCGGACAAAGTCCTGAAAAGTACAACTTGCATATTAACACATGAACAATACCAAAAGGAATAATGAAATTAATTAAATATATTTATTTTATATACTATGTGTTTCCGAACTTGTCTTGTTAATTGTGCTTTCAGGCAACCTATGATGCCCAAATGATATCCCTTCCTTTTTAACCTAAGGTTGTTAGGCAAATTACATCTCTTAATTCCTTCTTGAATTTCACCCAACCAAGGTTTAGCTGGGCCTCCACTGAGTTTCCTCTAACGAGAAACCCAATCTAGAATCTTCCAAGGCAACCTGTCTTCTGCCATGCTTTGAAAGTGAATCAATGGTATGCTCGACCTCACTCTTTCATTTTTTGCTTGTTCCCTTCTCAAGATTCCCAAAGTTCTTTGCCCGAGATCCAAATTGGTTGCATTAAGAATCTTCTAGGTGCAGTCTTTTATCAGGTATGTTTCATTGCCTTAGGTTAGAATGCCTTTGATAGGTAATGGTGTGTTGAGGTTCCTCTTTCTTGCAGATTTTTTGGATGATCTTTTATAGATAGGTCCCATTATTCATCCTAAATTATTTAAGAGCCAAGATATTTCAAATGTTCGCAGTTAAGTGGTTCACATGTTTAGTGGTTTGGTTTATTAGGTGCAATAAATGAAAAGCAACCCCCTACCCTCTGTGCAGGGGTGCAAAGACTTCCCAATCCCATAAATGACCTGGTCATGAGAGATGGAGGAACCCTTGTGAGAACAGAAAAAAACGAGATTACACTAACAAATTATTTGATTTTCGTTTTTACACATTATTTCAACAATGAAAAATTCCTGTTTGGGGAGGGGGGGGGTGTGTTTTTTTTTTCCATTTTGGAAGTCTTTAGGAAAACTAATCACAAATTTCGAACAAAAATGAGGGAAAGCTTGGAGCTTTCTACACCTCGGATGCCATTACTCCATAAATAACTCAATTTTAAGTTTTAGCAGACCTAGGTTCCTTTATCTGTGAATGGTCACAATTATATTTATAAATTTAATTGCTCCCTGTGAAGACTTACTTAATTTAACTAGGGCGCTTTTTTTTTCTCCGTGTTCTACGTAAGAAAAATTGACCTCCCAAGTCCTCAAACCTTCACCAGCTGAACAGTGTTTAGAGCCACAAATGAACTGTCCTTTACCACTAATGAGTTCAGCTTCTATTTGCCATCTTAAAGCTACCTATCGAACAAAAAAGTAATTGATTAGTGTTTATAGTAAATGTACAGGCGCTATGAAAACTTCTCTTGAGGGGGAGGGGGACATCTACTCTGTAGCTAATTACTTTGCTAAAGTTTACTCAGTTTTTTAGTAAAAGTGTTGCGAATATTTTGCATTAAAGAGTAATCTTACAATAATATGATCCGAATCAAAACTGTTACATTTTAGTATCAGTATGAATTTGACTAGTTTTTTCAAAAGAAAGCTAACCAAATTTTTTACCGGGAATTTTCGTTTTTCCATAATTTTCATTTTGAGGCAAAATTTCAACACCATAAATTTTCTCATTTTCTTCTACTGCCAAAAAAAATATAAAATTGCTGGAGAAGAACATGATACTGTGTTATCTTGACAGCTTCTGCAAGTTTTGATTCCAGAGGCCTTAGATATTTTATGAGTATAAGAAAAATGAGAGGATACAACTCTAAATCCTCCTTTATATCTGCCATGATCAGAATTTAAATGATCATGAGGATTTCAGTGCATTTCAGAGACTGGCATGAGACAATTGCTGCCGAAAAGATAGGTCATGGCAATAAAAATGAATAAATCCTGTTCGAGAGAGATATCCTCTCCTTTATTAATGGAAAAATGATTTTTAATACTTGATGGAGGAACACTCAAAAAGGTACGTGTGCCTAAAAAAATCCAACAGTGAATATATCAATGCCCAAAGTGCGAAACCATGTACCTCCGTCTGCAATGTTGCAGACTTACTACTAAAATTTCTTTTTTCTTTGCCAAACTTGCCTATGTAATTCCTTGAAAATTTCCAGAATTTTTTTTTAAATTAGCAAGATATTAGGCATAAATTTTGAGCTATAAAGTTGGCTTGATCCCTTTTGAGGGAATAAAATAATGGCAGAAATTTTGAAACACTAAAATGGAGATACGTAATTGCCGACTTTGGCCATCAATATGTACCTATATAAAAAATATTCCGAGGTAGAAGAAAACTTTCTTGCAATCATAAAAATCAATCCACCTTGCATTAAAATTTTTGCCATTGTGATGTCGATTGTGAGTCACACTCATTTACTGATGAAAGTTGAGAAAATTCTTATCCTTTCGTCAAAAATTTAGAAATTTATCTACATCGTTTTATCTCCCAATCACATGAGCATGAAAATTGCTCACTCCAATTTCCAGTGGCGTGGCGTGCTTTGTGATATATCGATTGATTCGCCATTTGAACCTACGGAAAAAGATCGATTATCAGGGCGTTCGCAGCGAACACCTTAGTAATCGATTCTTTACCATAGCTTCAAATGGCGATATATCGATAATCGATCCTTCACGCCACGCCACTGCCAATTTCATATCACAAATTAATAAATATCTGGTACCAACCTTATTTTCCTTGTAACGACTAAGATCACAAATACAGTATTCTTTGAATAATTTATCATAATATTTTTTGGCCAATTGTGCTTCCCAAGTCTCAGGAGTTTCATCATCTGCCCATAGGAATTTGTGATTTTCTCGGATGATGTCTGAATCCCTTTTATCAGAGGATCTGTAACAGGAAGGACAACGATCAGTTTTGAATCCATCTTGCCAGGTTACGCTGAGATAGAAAACCAAGTATGTTTCAAGTAAAATTCTTATCTCTCTCGGTGAATTTAGCTATTATTACTTTCTCACAATTTTATCTGAAATTTTTTCTGATCAGTTCCCCGGCGATCATTATGTTTAATTTCGACCATGCTTAACTTTAAAAGGGGCATTACTAATTAATTGAGGGACAGTGGTAAAATTGTATTTGAACGTTGTTTCGTCATGATATTTGTGAGGCCCTCAGTCGTATATCAAAATCAGCTATCGATGATGGGAGGTTGTAATCACTCATTGTTTTGATGGAGTACTTAGCTGAATGTAGTTGAAATTTTTTTAACTTTTCATTGACTACAATTGAATCACATTAGCAGAAGGAACCACCACAATTACAATCTTGTAAAAATTGTGTATCATTAAATCCGTTTCTGAAAAATTTCCTACAAAAGCAAATAGTTTTTGCTTTTCCACTAAAAAATTGTTAATTTTAAAAAATTATGCAAACTATACCTTATTTGAAAACAATGTAATCCTGCTGATTCACATCTCCTAGATGCAATGCAATTATGGACATAAAATGACTAGACCACTTGAAGGTATGATTTGAAGGGTTCTTCCTCAACCTCTCGTCGATTCATCCTTTACATTCTGCAAAAATTGTTGCTTATAGGTCTAGGAAAGTACCCAAAGTTTCATCATTCAAACAGCTCAGAAAATATTCAGCCATGCTTAGACTTTTGTTGCAATCTGCAGATAAATTTAAAAGTAGATACAAAGTGAACGTGACAGCAGAATTAACAGCTTACTTTCAAGTATAGCTGGATATGCTCTCGCTGTTGATGAAGTAGCTTCTGCCTCTGGCAGTGTTTTTCTTTATAAGATTTGTTGTTTATTGTACGCATATGAAATAAATAATTCATTCATTCAAAATGGAATGAATTTACTTACGTATCTCTCTTGAAATCAGCTTTGGAACCTCGGTAAATAGTGAAGTAGTTGTTCACAAGTTTTTTGTGCAACTCGTATGGTGCCATGGCAATGATATTCCTTTTGACATAATTTGGTAGAGTTGTATCTGCCATTGTTGATACTGACTGGAGGCATGGGATAAATAGATTAACAATGAATTTGGCACTTCTCTCAAATCAGCATATCTACAGTTAGTTGGCCCTAACCTTCACTCAGTTCAGTGGACAGAATGTTAGAATTCTCTGGAGGTACCTTGAAGATAAAGTTCCAACATTTGGAATCACCCGATTTTATCATTCATTTTGTCATGATACTGTGCGACACAATCATCCTCGTACAGTAAGTAAGTACCAGCAGATCTCCGAGTAAGTGACGGAAACTGTAGTACACTTGAAGGCATGGATTAAGTTTCAGCAAGACATGCAGAAGGATCATAAATTGATAAACGTAAGACACCTGTTAGGAATGTAAATAATTAGAAAGAATATTTATCAGCCAATTTTATGTTATGTTGCTGCCGGAACTCAGACTATCGCCTTGTTTGGAAGAATTCATGACATGAGAATATTTTAAAAACACATATCGGGGAGGATTTTACGCAAATCTAGAAATATATTCCAGTCGAATTTTCGCTCATTCCGTGAGAATAATAGTTTTCGAGGGAATGTCTGTGGTGTTAGGGGTTTTTATCAATGATTTTTACTCCACAATTCACATTCACACATGATGAAAGAAAAAAAAAGATTCACAAAATTCACATCATTCATAAGTACACAACATCAACATAACCTCCAAAACTCGTGTTTACTTTTAATCCGTGTGACGTATGAAGTGACGTTGTGACGAAGACGAAGCATCGACCAATGACAAAGCCCCATTTTTGGTCCCATGGTACCCTCGGTTTTTCAGGGAACTTGTGTGTTGTGTGTGTTGACAAACAAACAGGGGCACCATTATCAGTTGATAATAGTAGTTGGCATCACATCACTTATTTCGTAATTTGCTTCGTGTCTTGAATCATACCTTCTTGAGATATTAAATTGTTTAATTTTCGTTTAGTGTCTATGATCTACATTATCTTCAGACAGCTAGGTACGCAATTCTTAATACAGTTTCTCATTTTGTTTCATTGTCTTTCCACAAACCTTCACTCGGATCTGAATCTCATTTCTCTTTCTTTAAGTATGTATTTATTGTGTTTGGTTTGGTCAACATATTGATGGAAGATTTAGGTCTTATGTTTGTTGGAGCAATTAAGCATAAGTGTCTGAGGGTGAGAGTGTATTTACGTGACACTGTTTATAGTGAGTCGGCACTTCTTATCCACTTGCAGCTTTTGTAGTTATTTAGTTCATCATTCTTTTGGTCTACTTACTTCACAAAGATACTGAGTGTCCCATGCATTGTGGTCAGTATTGAATTAACTTTCACTAATTTTTCAGTTAGTCATATTGTTTACGTATAAACAAAGAAAAATAATGTATTGTTCTGATCCTGAGAGGCTGCCCCTCGCTGCAGTGCCTCTAACTGCCGTATCCAGAAATTGATGTTTTCTGCCCAAGTATTTTCCTTGTGCAGCCTTTATTGATAGTGAAAGTATTTTTTGAAAGACAGTATCAGTTTACATCAATAAAAAGTGGATGAATACGTAAGCCTCATTTAGATGTTCAAAATTGTCTTCAGACAAAAGCGAACGAAAAGTTGAATGGGAAGTTAGGTGCTAAAAAATTTGATTCAGTTTTCGTTGTCGTATGATATTTTCTGAGAACCGGACATTGGCATTTGGGTGTTTCTGTCAGCTTTCAGGTAGTGAAGATACAGCTTCTCAGGCAATGTTGGTCGGAAGATTTTGTTCTACACGTCTGTTTAACTTTCTATAGATGCAAAGTCGGAAAGAAAGCTAATGATTGGTCTACTTTCGTGTCAGTATCATTTGATCCAACTTTTCATCCAAAAAAAGTGGAAGGAAAGTTGAACGAAATAATTTTTTGGCACCTTTGCACGGAAATACCACATTCGTCGATAAACTGAGATTGCACCGCTAGCCAATCAGGAGCTGTCAACCAGACCTAAGCGCAGTCGCAACTCATCCTCAGTCTACTTAGGTTTTTAGTGTACTGCTGCACTTGAGGAGAACATCGGATAGACTCTCATATATAGCCCAACCCCACCCCACCCCTTCCCTACTCCTGTATAATAACTATTCTGAGGAAAAATCAGAGTATTTTCTCTTTCCTGTGTACAATGTATTAAAAATTGTACTTAAGGCTATAATTGTGAGCTTTGTTTGAACCACACCAGTGAAGCTGTAGTTTTGAGGGATCTCCCAGTGACACGAACGAGTATTAATTTGTGCACTACCAAGCCTTTTTTTTGAATTTTAAATCACAGGCCGACAAATTGTGGCAGAGTAAAAGTTGCCCAGTTTAGTGTTGCCAGTTGAGCACACAAATGCAAGTTTAGGTATGCAAGCACCAGACAACTGAGATGGGAAATTTCATAAAAGAAAAGAATTCGAAAATTTATGGTGAAATTTCCCTTTAATTTTTGTAATTTCAGGCTATTTTTCATGAAATTTCAGAAACTTGTTGAAATTTCCCAGCCGGAAAAGTCCTGTCATACGCGGCAACACTGAGAGGCTGCCGGGATTTACGACTTTTTTAAGTCGTTTTATTCGGAGTCAAGCTCGATTTTTATTATAACCCAGTTTGCGGTTCAAGTGAATGAGTATTCAAAATGCTTATTGTTTACGTTTCGTTAAAATCTGAGCTTTGTTTCCAACATCATACTCAGATACAGAATACTCATTCAACTCAATAGAGAAAGCGAAAGAACAATTGAAGAATACACTTGAGGTTCGGACCCAGCATGCAACTATTTTAACTCCGCGATGAGTCTGGTTGCATACGCTGGAGTTCCCCGGCGAAATCGGAGATCTGCACGCGGCCTACGCTGTATACGGCTCTCGCGAAGGTCAGCGCGGCAAGGTGCAGGCGTGATCAGTGATCCTTGAGTGTATGCAACCCTGCCCACTGCGGAGTTAAAATAGCTGCATGTTGTTTCCAAACCCAACGTCGTACATTCTACCGTTATTTTATTCTCATTGCATTAATCGAATGCCGAAAGTCTTTCGGAAAGCATTTCAGTTTGTTAATATCGCGTTAAAAATCTGTGCGACAGGATGAGCGTCCAAATAGTTGATCGGCATGGACGTCACGCTAGAAGAAAGCAATAATTGCACCCGCACTCTATCGCGAATGACATGCCTTGGGCAGATCTCAGATTCCGCCCGCAAAATTGAGCGTATGCAACCCGGCCCACTGCGGAGTTAAAATAGTTGTATGTTGGGTCCGAACCTAACTTCAAATCGTCACATTCCAGCCAAAGTATCACGGAGTCATCATGCAACGTTTCAAATTTCCGCGGCCATTTTATTTTTTTACAGAAAAATTGTACAACGTAGCTGTCCGAAAAGTTCACTGAATTTCCTTTGTGCTGCCGATATAATTCAGTAAAATTTTCAAACAGATTCAACCATTAATTTCTCTGTAAAAAGATAAAATGGAACGGAAGCGGAAATTTTGGAACACGACGCATGGCTTTTGTGATACTTTGGCCGGAAGGTGGCGAAATATTGTTGTTCGATCCGCCCCTGGTAAAAATTGGCAGTAGAATCTGTGTTCCAAAATACCATAGACCTACAGCCGGCTGTAAGATTTCCAATTGCTTCTACAGCCGGTAACACAATTTCTTATAGCCTTTTATAGCTGATGGCGAGTAAGCAACAGCCTGGCGATAAAGTGTATGCTAAACGTTACTAATTACAGATGCTAGGACTTAGCGCGTTTTTGGGCCGTAGTATCTTGATTTATTTTGCGAGGAAAGCTCCGTACTTTTGAAGGATACCTGCCATTCCTAATATGTTGGAGCGCCTTCAATTTCGTATGATACTGTGCAATACCTCTGGTTGCTTCAAGCGCCGTGGTACGCTGCGGCGTGGCGCGGCGGGCGGGCAGCCAGCGCAAAACGCGCGTTGGCGCCTACAAACCTAACAGGGATACTTCACGCATTGCGCAATGCGTGGAGTATCCCTGTTAGGTTTGTAGGCGCCAGTGCGCCGCCGCGCTCCACTTTGTGTTAGGCTCTAATATTTAATCTCGTGGAGTCAGCGTTTTTCAACTCATGACTTTGAAATGTTTGCACATACTGTATGAATTATTCTCATTTTAATTGATGAAAAAAATGTAGTAAAGGAAAATATAATGTGCGTTTTGTAAATATTAAGGTGATTCCGTACAAACTTAAGGATTTACAAAGCACACGAATTTCTACACAATTTCTTATAGCCTTTTATAGCTGATGGAGAAAAAGCAACAGCCAGGCGATGAAGTGTAAAGCCCGGCTATAGGAACTATAGCCCGGCTGTATAATTTTTTTTTAATCGCTTCGTGTAGCCCGGCAGTATGATTTTTTCCACTTTCTACAGCCAGCTATATGATTTTCTATCGCCTTCGTCAGTCGGCTATAAAAACTCCCATGGTATTTTGAAACGCAGCTCCTATCGCCAATTTTTACCAGGGGCGCATTATTCAAACGCCGAATTTATCATTCGGAAACGCATCTCAGTTGGTTCACATCACGTTATTTGGTTAGTAATGTGTTTTCTCTGTTAATAGTGGAGCCTAGAGGAAGTAATGTAGGATATTTTTGGACGATTCCAATCCCAAAGGAGGTAATAGAAAATAACCGAAAGGATTGTAAACAGGAAATCATGTAACTTGAATTAATTGTTTGATAATGAAAAAGGCTGGGCCTGGGAAAGGATATGAATATCAATTCCTCATCAGAAAAAGTAGTCAAATTTTTCAATCCTCTTCTCATATCCATACCATTGTGCTTTCAGTTATTTTGCTGAATCGCATTCCTTCAAATTTCTCGGATAATTCTCATCAAGCTGGCAATGACTTTAATGTCCGGAAGTTGGGCAGCGGAGCGGCCAGGGGGCTGTCCCCTTTGTTTAATATTGAAATTCACGAGACCATATTCTTTGCCAATGAAATTTGAAAAATTAGAGAAAAAGGTTCTCCACGACTCCGCACATTATCGAGTGAAATCGGTAATGTGTGAATGAACGTAATGTACCAGAAAGACCAGATTTTATCGCGAATTACATTTCCTGAATTCTCACTTGAGCGAAGAAAAAGACAGTCATTGCCCAGTGGCGGCTTTAGGGGAGAAAAAAAAGTGTTTTTAGAATATTTTTCATAGTAACTTCTTTTTTCTTTTTTTTTTTTTTTTAATCTCTAAGTAACAGTCACGCGGGTAAGATTTGATGGACAACGAGGTCATAAACTTGCCCAGTAGAGAGATTATTCGTTGACAATTTTCCGGCTGAAGGCTGTTCCGGGATTTGTGATTTTCCTTGCATTATACCGTTGAAGGGGCGGCCAAATTCTACATAGTTGTCTCGGGAGGCGGCAAAACGTCAATTCCGGGCATGACAGTAGCGTAACAAAGCAGACATCTCGGCACTCTCAGCGTATTGTTTTCAAAATATTCCTCAACGAGTTCCGTTTTGCGCATGCTCTTGGTCGAAAGCGAAGGGTACAGTGCGCACTTGGCCGGCGAAAGCGAAAAACGCGGGAAGTTGCGCGAAACACATATCCCTCCCAGTGACGCTGCCGCAAGGTCTGCTATATATAATCGGGATTTGACTCCCATGTTGGTTGGATTTTCTGTAGAGAGACGGTTTTTTGCCAAATTCTGTCCCCTTCCTTTTCCCCTCTCGCCCGCTCGCACGTGTTCCCACGCCCTCTGTCTCATGAGCCAAGTTGAATAACTTTTCGCACGTGCCCGCGAATAATGAACAACTTGATAAGTATTAGGATTTGCAACGCTGCAGTAAAATTGTTCATGAATCGTGCAAAAAAAAAAGGACAGAAGTGCTGTCATGCAGCGTCTGAGAAATAATTGCTAGTAGTTGTCGTTATCAGTTATCACTTGGGTCATGGATGCGATCGACAATGATAAAAGGGGCTATAGTGAAGTTAGGGCCGGTTCTTTCACCGCTGGTTAAATTTAACTTTTTGTTT